CCCGCGGTGGCCCACCCAGGAAGGGCAGGGTTCGGGCCCAGACCCCAGCCAACGTTACCTGGGAGGAAAAGCAAACAAGGAAGAAAAAGCCCTCCTGTCTGAACAGCCTTGGACTTTGAGGCGGAGGGAAACACAGGATCGTGACCCAGCCAGGCTTTGTTAGAGACGCGCAATGCCCAGCGATTGCACAAACTCCCAAGCGGGCTCCAAGCTTACCTGAAAAACCATGTAAAGCACCTAAAGTCTTGGTACTTTGGGCCCCTACATTGTTTTGGTGGATCTGAACTGTTACCAAAAGAAAAAAAAAAAAAGATCCAAAAATGCTTGCACTGCCAGGCCAGCTGTCAGTGCCTGTTCCAGTCAAGGTGCATCATGCTGCTTTGCAAAGCGGAACAGAAAATAAAGGGACTTCGGGGCTGGCTACGGACTTGTCGTACTGGCACGCTAGGATGTGATGAAAGGAGGAAACCTAGTGTCTGACCTTCCCACTTCTTCTTAGAGAAAATTACACTATTCCCACAGCACTCTTCCTCTTAACCACAGCAACACTTGTGACTGAGCAGCTCATGACAAGCAAGACTGAAGAAGATTGAGATAACTGTACTCAGATGCCCAGTAAAGATTTCAGAAATAATCCTAAAGATGTGTACAAAGTCAGAAAGGGATACAATTTTTAAAGCTGCATCATTAGGGAAAAACTGGTCTTAAGTACATGTATTTAGTGTTCATTGATGTTACTTCTATGCTTCATGTCATGTTAAATACCTGTGTGTGCAGACCTTTGTGACTCTTCTTATTAATCATCAAACACAGCAAAACTCGTTTGAGCAAGGACTGTAGTATCAGAACCATTTTTAAACGACAGTAGAAGTTGGGTTCAACAACCTTTGCTCTTGCTAAGGACACAGCAAACAGTATTTCCGCTGAAGTCAACAAAGTAACTCAGATGAGCATGGATCCGTCCCAGGGAATACATTTATTTAAAAAAAATGGAAGCATTTCTGCAGCTCATAACTTACTTCAAGGCAGGAATTGCATCTTCATAGGTTTTTGTACAACACCTCACACATAATCTATCCCCATCACATAGCATAATTAGTGCTGTTGCAATAAAACTGTAGTTACTTTCTATTACCACCTTTTTTTTTTTTGTTTGGCATTCTAATCCTTATACAAAGCCAGTTTAAAAAGAAGGTAAACCTATTAAGTTAACAGAGTTAAACTAAACCCACATTATACTTGAGAAGAAAAGCCGGTAATTGATTTATACGCAGTTCTCAGAACTAGACCTGAAAATACCAGAAAGCCAGGAGAAAGAACATTTTCATTAGTTGTGGGTATAAAGAGAAGCAGAAATGCAGCTAGAAATTCTACAAAAAACACCCTTTCCTTTGGATTTCACATTCCTATTTTACAGATTCTGGAAATTTAGATTGATTTCTGTGACCTTAAAAAAGCTTCTGAAATTGGGAAAACTTGGATGTTCCCAGTCTTCGAATTTTGAGGCCAACAGCTTACTAAATTTTTCCTACCATCATTGAATTCCCCTAATTCTAAGGGAGGTATAGAAAGAAGATATGAGGAAGGGAGGAGGACAAGAAGGGAGAGGAAAGTGGAGGGAAGGAGGAAAGAAAGAGAAAAAAGAAAGATAGTAAAGTAAGAGAAAAAAGAAAAGATAAAAAGAAAAAAGAGAAGAAGGGGAAAGGAAGGGAAGGGAAGGGAAGGGAAAGGAAGGGAAAAAATATAAAAGGAAAAAGGGAAGAAAATAAGGAAAGAGAACAGAGAAGAGAAAAAATAAAAAAGGAAATAAGATAAAAGAAGATAAAAGGAACAAAAAGAAAAGAAATAAAGGAAAAGGAAAGACAGAAAGAAATTAAAGAAAGGGAAAGAAAAAGAGAGAAAAGAAACAAGAAGAGAAGCCAATATTTCTTGCAGACCCTGAACCACTTTAGATTGGGGAGAAGAGGAGTCTAAGTAGAGTGCAAAACCGGGGCCATAGTAAAGCAGAACCTGTGCTCAAGGTCTATTTTCTTCTCAAAGTTCAGTAGCAGCATAAAGTGCCTGTACAACATTTGAAAACTGCTGTGATCTAAGTGAGGTTAGATACATAACTGTGGTGGTAGTGGCTCCTGAGGGGCCCATTCTTGCAGTCCTTACTCATGTGAATTGTCCCTTCGATGCTAATAGGATTACTCTTGTAAATCAGGGATGCCATATCAGCCCGATGCCCAGGGTTATACTGATCGTGAAGGGCTTGATCTTGCAAACCTCATTCATGTGAGCAGCCCTTTTTCATGGCAATTTTCCCATTGACTTGAAGAACTGTCCATATAGCCAGAGACAGTAGAATCAGGACACAAATTTAGGGTCAGCATAAAAGTAGGAATACAAGAGTTTTTCATTTAACCTCCAGCAAGGAATAGATACTCCCGAAGAAGGCCAGATAAGTGCAATCATTCTCTTTTGACTGCAGGGAGGGCGAGGGAGAGGCATGTATTGATCAGCCTTGTTCCATCCTGTCTCCTTCTCTGGCTCCATTTATTCGCCATAATTAGAGTGGGTAAAGGCGGCTCCAACAATACATTTTCACCACACCTGAAGCTTCTGTTCACCACCCCCTTGCTAACATAAATTAGTTGTTTCCTCAAATAGCTCCCCTGTAAAACTGACAAGTTATGCCTCCTGCATTAAATCAACCAACGATTTGCAGAGTAAAAAAAAATCATGAACACCAAGATTCAGTCCATATTTTAAATTAAAGTCTGAAATACTGTTTAAATGCCAAAAGAAAAGTGTTAGCAAAATGTTTAGTATAACAGGCCAGAGTCAGACTTTGTGCTACTCCATTAAAACCTACACCCTCTGGTTAGAAAGCACTTTCACTATGTCAAATGTTGACACCTATGTAATTTCACTGTGATTCACATGCTTCTGCTTCAGAAGATCTCAAACTGCTGTCTGCTTTCTCTGGGGAACTGCTTCGAAAACAGCAAGAAAGGATCTTTCTTCTGTTAGGAATGCTTCCTGCTGGGTATAGCTCCGTGAAGGCTTCTCTGGCATAAGCTGCCTTTTGGTTGAGTTTCTATTAAACAGCTGTGTCCACCCATCCATCTCTTTTATTCAGGCCACCATTTGGAGGAAAACAGTTCTCAGTAGTGAAATTTCAGGTTGTTTGAAGAATTCCAGTTGCTCACTTACAAGGCAGAAACAATAGTATGTAATTTAAGTGACCACTCTCAGCGGGTGGTGACGAACAAGCGGGGAGAGAAGGTGGAAGGAGACCATCTCCACAAAGCACAAGGATAGTCACATCTGGTGATTGTCTGCTCAGTTGTACATTGTTAATACGTTATTCAAAAATCCCACAAAGCTCATTTGCTGGTCATTTAATGAGACAGTGAGTAAGGTTATTCTCTAAAGTTGCTTACTGTCTTCAGTCAAGTAGCACCACTGCTACAAGGAATATGCAAGATGGGGATCAAAAGTCATGATGTGGACATATCGTAAGAAATACTCCCAACACATGAAAAACGTCTGTAGACTATTGCCCTACACAGGGAACAACTCAGAAAGGGATTGGCAGGCATATAGGTAAACCTTTTCAGTAGGTCTATATGTAAGCACATCATGGACCATTTTTTGCCTTGATTCCTCTTTCACTGCACATGAATACTCTAGCAACTGTGTCACTTCTGAAAATACATCTACAGCATGAACCAGTGTTGCAGCTGACAGTAATGCATATATGGTGAGGTATTTAAAGTCCTGTGCTGTACTGAAGAGAAAAGGGCATTAACCTCAGATTTTGTGATGCTATTTGATCAGTACAATTGTTTTTATTAGGAAAGCAAGATATCGTATATCATTGAAGGCCATGAGAGACTCAGTATCTCTATAATGCTCAGATGAGCCAATGAAAGAGATTTTGCAGAACCCATAGTAAGTTACTTTTAAACTAATCCAGTGAGAAGAGTTAT